GGCCTGGTGGTGTTGGGTTGATGGTTGGACTCGATGATCTTAGAGGTCTTTTCCAACCTTAATGATTCTATGATTCTATGATTCTAAGTATGACGTTATTCAGAAGATGGGGTGATCGAGATCAAGTGCTATGCAGCAAGTGTAACAGCAGCAGCTTTATTAGAAAGAAGCCTGAGCCACCTGCCAATATGCCCCTTCTTAATTCGTTATTCAGAAGATGGGGTGATCGAGATCAAGTGCTATGCAGCAAGTGTAACAGCAGCAGCTTTATTAGAAAGAAGCCTGAGCCACCTGCCAATATGCCCCTTCTTAATTTGCTAAACCCGTTTCAGCAGTGTACAAACCCTCCAAAATGTCCTCTGCCTCTCTGTAGTGCTTTCAGGACTGCAAGCCACAGGAGAGGTTTGTCAACTCTTCCAATAGGAAAGTTTACTAAGGAGTTGCAATATTCCAATATTGCAGTGGGACTCCAATCCTAGTTGTGTTCTATTTGAAGTGATGCTGAAATTGTTTTGCTCCGGTATCACAGTATCCACCACCCTAATCTCCCACCCCTCCCAGTGCAACCCAGCCTGCTGCTGCATTTGTTTTCAGCCTCCTCATTCTCTGTTGCAGACCAACAATAATGCTACCTACATAGTGTTTCCATGCAAGGAGTGGAGAAGCACAGGACCCGGAGGCAAAGCATAAGCTTTCTACCTTGAGTCCACCCTTTTCCCCAGTTTGCCCAGCCATAGCCAGCAAAAATCTCTCCTTTCTACCCTAAGATGCCACAGCAGAGCTGTAAGTGCCATTTAGGTCAAGAGACATCTGTTAATGCAGTGGTTGTTTGGGACAGAGGCTCCAGATGGGATAAGGAAAAGAAGGTCTCATCACCATCCTGGAGTCCCCCAGGGACTGGTCCCAGTCTCTAGTTAGGTCAGCTATGGAGCAGGAAGCTTGTAAGGGGAGGAGACTCCATCCACAAGTCTACTTCCCTCCACCAGCAAAATGCTCTGCTGTGGATAGTACTGCCCAACAGCCTCTTAATGTCCCATTTTGTTAGAGCTGAGGACCATGCAGAGAAAGGGGAATGTGGATGGGGAAGGAGGGAGGGAGTGTGGTCGTTATGCTCCTCTGTAAGCATCTATTTGCATTTTAGTGTAAAAAACCCTGACCTGCCCAGACCAGGCATACCCGTAGGCTCTACCTGTGGGGCACACCCCTGGGAGCTGGCAGCCTTGCACTGCATCATAGCAATTTTGCCAGATGCTCCATCTCAGTCAAGCTACAGTTTGAACCACAACCACCTTTTAGGTCAAGAGGGAAAAGCTTCACATCAGTACAACAGTGATATAATTACTAACTTCAAAGTGCAGTAATTACAGGTATTTCTTGTTCTTTAGAAGGCAAGGAAATTAAAATAGATCCCATTCTCAGAAGACTAAAATCTTCCAGGAAAGTTTCCCATGTATCTACAATATGGTTTCAAAAATCTAAAACATACATTAAAAAAAAAAAAAAGATGCATCAGGAATTTCCATCTGAAAAACAGGCTATTGGGCAAATGCACTGTATAGAAGATAAGCCACTGGCTACATGTGCATGTACAACTAGACCTCTTTTTTCTTTACTCAAGGAGCACTTCTGCCATCATTTCCTAAATCCGGGCTGGTCTCTGGATTCTCTGGCAGGGTAAAGACTTAGCAAAAAAGGCTGGAGTATAAGGCTAAATGGAGTGATTTAGCCAAAGTACTTCAGCTAGACTGATCTAGCTAAAGCTCTTTAGCTGAGGGGCCCTTGACTAAATCTCAGCTAAGATGCTTTAGCTAGATTGATTTAGCTAAAGCACCTTAACTAGCACACACTCCCTGAGCCAGGTTTCCCTTACTGCTCTGTCCTATGACAAGAACAAAATCATCCAGCTGATTTTCTCAGTCTCACAAAATTCACCCTACTGAAGTCCTAGAGACATCTGGAGAGTCAGATTTATTCTTCATATTATGTGTAATTAATATTAAATTGTGGAGACACTGTGGCTGTTCCGAAAAAGCAGCCAGGATACCCCATTCACTCTTAAATAAAGCAATTTGTCCTATAAAACAAAGGAGAGAACAACATAAAGAACTCCTACAACCTTAATTTATACAGAAAACCAGGTAAGGAGCTGTTTCAGAACTGACAGATGTGTTGAAAGGATGTATCCAGTGCTCACACCTGAATCACAGAACACACAACAGAAACCGTGATCAGGGTCCAACAGCTTCACAGAGTAAATATGGCAATTCCCTCAGTGCATGTAAGCAAAAGGGATAGATATTCCATTTTACACTAATCAGACCATTTAATTTTATTGTGGCCTAAAACATGAAAGTTATTTTGATGCAAGACAGACAGTAACTTGGTTAAACAACAGTGGGGGAGGCAAGAAAACAGAAGATTTTATACTCCTAATTAATGCAAGATGAACTCCAGATGTCTCTGTGGCTTTTCGGCATTATCACATGAGAAACAGCTAATAGGAGTTCTAAGAGCTCAAGACAAACGTGCAAGGCCATGCACACAAACACACTGAAGTCTATCCTGGAGAGTTACTGTTTCAGTACACACAGTTATGGAAAAATGGGTGAAGGGAGAGAGACAGAGGATTGAAGAAGGCAGGTCTTTTCGTTACAGCCCATTAATAAGACAATGGCAGATGCAGGAACAGCATGTCTCCCACCGCTCAGTTTATTATTTACCTACTGAACCACATTCCTACACAGAATGTAAAGCATGAAACAGCCCAGACCTAGTCACTCAAAAAGTATGGACTCTCTATATTGTGATTTGCTTACTGCAGAGAAATACTGTCATGATCAAGCATATGGATGTTTTATGTCTATCACATAAGAGAGCAATATAAAATCTGAGCAAGGACCAAAGGCCCAGCTGAACTACACGTAACATAACAGCTCAACTGGCATCTGGAAATACATCCATTTACCTATACCAGTATAAGAATACAGGTATTGACACTAATATGTGTGTTACCATTCATAGTCCTAGATTATAAATAAGAATAAATAAGAGTATAAAAAGGCCACACAATTGGATCAAGAGTCCATGAGAACCCAGTATCTCTTTTCTAACAGTCACTGTAAGGCTGGGGGAGGGTGGAGAAGAAGAATATACAATACTTCCAGCCCAACACTTCCAGCCTTCCCCTTCACCCTTCAACCACCTTCTGGTTGGGGATGTCTCAAGTCAGATGTGGTTTCTGTGTACTTACCAAGAGATTTCTCTCCTGTCATCCAGTGAATGCATGACAAAGAGATGCAAAGAGAACCAACTGCACAAAGAACCAATTTCTTTTGCTTTGAGCTTGACTCTTACTAGTCTTGTCTGAAGCCATTTGATCTACCTATATGAACAACTGTATCTACTTCCATTATAAAAGTAAGCACAAAAGCTCCCTTATGGCTTATTTCACTGAAGTTTAACAATGAAGTTACATATGATCTACAAGTAACTGACTCACCAAGCTCACCTACAAGTGACTCACTTATCAAGCTTACCTACCTTCAATAAGTCAAACCATACATTCTGTGGATTGTGTTGGTCACATCTGGACACAAGCAAAGAATCCACGCTTCTTTTCTTTGGTTTCTCTTTGGGTTTTGTTGTGGTTTTTTTTTTTTTTTTAAATTTAAAATCACATACTATCATATAGGAAATGCAAGAAAAGAAAACTTTTCATAAATATTTAGTACAAGTCATGCACATATTTAACACAGGATACAGGCTTTGTATTTTTCATGATTCTCACATTTTCTCCATTACAGGATACACTATTATGTCAACAGCATATTTGATAGAGTGCGGAAGATTTAGTAAAGTCAAAACCCAGATTATCTACTTACTATTTGTGATTTCCTTGGCATTGGTGCTGGTGGCTGGATTTGTGCCAAAGTATTTGTTGTAGAACCAGTTTGTGTTACTGGAATTTCACATACAGACTCTCCTGCTGCTAAGGTAAGCAAAACAAGTAAATTTTAGACATGCTTTAAAAAAAGTAAGAGTGATGATACAAGCTGAAACCAAATTAATTATTCTTTCAAGGATACAAATAATTTTATATCCCATGAGTATTTCATTTTTTTAATGGTTCTTTCTAAACAACTCAACAGAATTTTTCTATCCTTTTCCTTACCAAAAAGGCCTCGTTTCCCAAAGACAATTACCTAAGACCTTTAATAGTGCAGATATGCTGAAAGAGAAAAAAGCCTATAAAATAGATGAGAGCAGAACCAAATATCCCATTTCCCCATTTGTTCACTGCAGACTGTGTGCTTTTAGAACCCTTCTTTCCTAGTAAAGACCATCATTATCAAGATGCTCTATCCTTCACAGGAGACTCCTGACACAGATGGCAGATAGTCACTATCAAATTCCCCTTGGGTATGTCAAGGGGAAATAAAAAAGAATCACAGTAAGAACCAATGAACATAATATATACAGTGGAAGGGGAAACTGGGTAGGAGAAATTCCACTACAACCACCACAGAATCCACACAAACTTTACTTTGGGCGTTTTATTGAGATGACATTATTGTAATGTCCCAAAGCAGTAGTAACTTTGAACAATGAAAAGAGCAGAAAGAATAATGAACTTGGTTCATTATCACGAAAAGAGCAATATCAATTTGCAATTTAATTAAAAGTGACACTGTATGAGCTTTAGATTTTCAAACTAGAAAAACATTTTTCTATTCTAAAATGTGTATCTGTACCTTGTTTATGACACATGCAAACAAGAGAGGAAACTAACAAGTTTTCATAATGCATCCTTTGTTTGAGTGGGGTTTAGGTGAGGTTAGTTAAGCTAAGGCCCAGCTGGACTTGAATCTGGCAAGGGATGTCAAAGACAACAAGAAGGGCTTCTGTAAATATAGAGGTAACAAAAGGAAAACTAGGGAAATGTGGGCCCATTGCTCAAGGAGATGGGGGATCTGGTTACACAGGACATAGAAAAGGCTGAGGTACCGAATGCCTTCTTTGCATGGTCTTGGGCAACTGGCGCTGGGTGGCCCTGCTTGAGCAGTGGGGTTGGGCCAGATAACCTCCAGAGGTCCCTCCCAACCTCAACCATTCTGTTTCTTATTACTCGGCCACATTATTTACATTAATTGGCCCATAACTCTGTTCAGGCAGAAGAGCTTGAGGCATCAGGGCCTACACAATCAAGAGGAGAAACAACAAGAATGCTGGTACTGACTGTATTTAAATGTGTAAGGAAAATAAAAACCCAAAACCACTCTCCTTTAGGCTGTTATAACGATAGCTTAATCACAATAAAATAAATCTCTAAACCACAATTACCAGTTTGTTGTAGAGACCCAAGTCCTCTGGACTGCCCTTTGTTAGTTAAGCCAGGCGACTTCTCAGTCCTGTGCAGACAGTTAGAAATTCATCCATTTAAGAAATAAACAAGAACTTGAACCGCAGCAATAGAGTATTTTCCAAATTATAAAATTCTTGTCCTGTCTTCAGTATATTCTGGTGACAGCTATTTTGCTTTGAAAAATACTACTTTGCTTCCATATTTTTGATTACACCAATTGTAAGTTGCACTTAATTCAAAAATGTAAGGCAGAAGAATAATACAGCTTCAATGACTGCTATTTGTGTATAGCAGATTTTCTTTTCCTAAGTTCTGAAGTTCCTTTCACTGCTGTTCTAAAATTCTTTGTTAAAATTATGTATCCATATTAATCTGTATATTATAGCAAGCTTCAGCAAGTTGCTTCTCCCTTTTACTTAGTATAGTATATGCAATCAAAGGACTAGAAAGTGAGCTCAAAGGTCAAAGGTTGTTTACCTCTTTCATTCACAAAGGATCAACCACGTATATTATTTATCTCACCTACACACATACATGTCCCTGTATTTTACAACTATCTAAGTTTGTACAGGCTGTACTGTGCCAAATTTTCAGCGTCAGAGAATCCAAAAACTTCCCAGACAAGTTACTATGGTATTTCCCTATGCCTACTTTTGGAAAGCTTTCCCTAGTGTCTAACTAAATTATCCTTGCCACAATTCAAACAAAAGTCTTCTTTTTTAGAGCCATCATGAGATGTAAAAAGGAATGGCATAACCCAACACTTTGTACATATTTGAAGACGTGTATCTATGCTACAATTTCTTTTTTAAAAAATATAAGAGAATCTTATTTCTTCCAAACTTTTCTCACAGGTCATATTTTCTAGACTTCTCATTACCTTATTGATCTCCCCTGGTTTCTGCCTCACTGTTTTGTATCTTTATTTTACTGCAATACCCAAAACTGAACATAGTAGTCCAGCTGAGGCATTACTGATGTTGAGTCAACTGGAAGGATTAATTCATACGGTTTGCAGGCTATAATCAAACAATACTATTTCTCTTTGACTCTTCCACAACAGCATGAGTCGCCTGACTTACTTTTATTTATGATTCACTATGTCCTTGCAGATCCTTCTCTTAAGGACTTTTGCTTAATCATACTCTGCTGTTCTCCATGCTTCGTTTTAGTACTTAAGAACAATCAACTACAAAGTGTTGCTTACTGAATGACACCCCTCTTCTCCCTTGACTACTACTCCAGTTTCTCAAGGCTGCTTTGGATATAATCCTGTTTTCCAGTACACTTGTCCCTCCTAACTTTGTCCCCTGCAAATTTAAAAACGGTATTTTCTGTTCCAGGTCTCTCTACTCCTGCCACGAATGAAAATATTGAATGGAACTGAACCTATGCAAAGCACGTGAACAATAAATGGCACAATCAGACATAAGATCCCATTATCTCTTCTTTGTTATTAGATGAGAATAAGAAATGGATTATTCTTTGTGGCTTCTTATTTCCATCATGGCTAAGCATTCTGTAGATATTTGCAAGTCATACAATCAAATCACGAGGCTGTCTTGTTTTTACTGTGGGAATCCTTGTAACCTGCTCCCTTAGTGTCTGCCTTCTGTTCATTCCCATACTCCAGAACACATCACTGGCAAAAGTATGCATGCTTTATAGATTACTTGTATGTTATATACCATAAAATTGAAAAGTTACTAATAATTATGAAATATATTAAATACTAAAATGACACCAGTTACCCAGGAATAGGCTTTCTTTGAGAGATTCTACTAGGAGGTTGTGGGGGCAGTGGTGGTGGGGTTGGCTTAGTTTGTGGAGGAGCTGGTTGCTGTTTAGATTGCTGGTTCAAAGCTTCTATAATGCTGGCTGTCTTTGCCACTGGAGGTGGTGGTGCTGGAGAAAGCACATCTATAGAAGAAAGTTAGACAGTGAAATGGAATTAAATTTCTATTTACCATTTTGTTTTTTGGGTTCTCATTCACAGGTTTTCCTGTTACAGGATTTACCCCCATCCAAGAAAAATGCTTTACTACATGTAATCAATAACTTAAACAGAAAGCAATCCTTCCATTGGAAGGAGGACCTCTTTGGAAAGAGGTTTACCTTTTGTTTCACCTAGTCAAAGTCAGAGAGCTCACAAGTACTTAAATTCATTCAAGCATTAAAGTACAAGCAAAGAAAATTCTTACCAAAGTCAGTCGAATTCTTGAAAATAGTAGATCAGAATATATTTAATAAAGTGCTAATATTGTTTGCTCAATCAAGGCCTTCAATTTGTGTTTTATGGAAAAGTAACTGAGTGAATAATATCTGCAAAATTTTATTTAGAGGAATGTCTTAAAATCCTGTTATGATTCACATCTAACTAACTTCACATTAGGTTTAGCCGATTAACATCTAACTAACTTCACATTAGGTTTAGCAATTAATTAAAATTGCTATTGAATTCTTGAAACCACCGCAACAGCAGCTGGCAATGCATTAAAACATCTTTTTGCATTCCTACGGTCTGCAAGAATCAAGCACGATGTGGAGACATAGCCCCAGGCCGACATGTAACACTCATCTTTACAACTAGTGAGAAATGCAGCATTGAAACTATATATATACACAAGTGAAGAGCTCTTTAGCTCTAGTAATAGATAGTATTTCCTGTTGACCCTGCACTACACCATACAGTCCTCACTGGAACATCAGAGAAGACAGTTCATACAAAGTTACTGGATGGGAACGATAGGCCAAAGCTACAGTCACCAAAAGAGGAAGTATGAGTTGTGGAAATGGAAAAATAAGCCAACTATGATTAGATACAGCAGAAGGGAAAACAGGGGAAAGTGGAAACATACTTGTAGATGTTACACGCAATGGCGGCACAGGGGGATGAATAGCTGGTGGATCTGATGAAGACCTCTGCCTGCTTATACTTTCCACTCCTAAAGAATTTGTCTTCCACATTGCATTAGATGAAGAAATTGTCTGAATACCACTGCCAAGAACTGAAGGCTGAACTAAAAAGAGAGGAAAATACTGTATTATTATTATTGTTTACCCTAAGCACAAAGTGTTAATATTCACACCCGTGCTTTTAAAAATGGTGCAGCTAGACCACTACATTCAGCAATAGGAACCATTGCCATCCTGCTGGAATGCCAGAGCAGAAATCAGAGTCTGGTGTAAAAAATTACATAGAAGTTTCTGGGTGAAGTCTTACTAACACTTCACCTAAGTAAAATTTGTCTCCAGTCGTTGCTTTAAAATATGTCAATGCTTGAAAAAGCAGAAATTTCTCAATAAGAAGACAGAAGGCAAGTCTTGCTAACTTCTTTAATCCCTGACTGATAGCTGTAATCTCTCAGGTACTGCAAGAAAAGGACCTCACTCTCGCATGAGCATTAGCAGACATTGCTGACTCAAAGTGAAGCATCAGTTTTGACTTGGAATTGACATAAAACTGCAATTCTGAATTTCACCCAAACAAGAAGCTATAATAACTAGTCATGAAACAGTTACAAAGTACGACTTCTTTGGGGCCTCCTAAATGACTCCATTCTTATGCTGAAGAGCTGCCTCCCCATTTCATGAAAACACACTACAGGTTTTCTTCATAAAGCCAATATTTTGCACATATCATGCCACTTCTCCCTACTCAGCACATGAGCATCATATTAAGAAAAGATGAAACAAAGTAAGGTATGAATAAATATTAGGTTGCAGGGAAAAGCATAAAAGGCTCAGAAGACTTGGGGAACAGCCTAAAGCTAAGAGGATAAAGGAATAATAATATACCATAAGCATAACACCAACAACATCAGCAATCAACAAGAAGCTACGATCGATACTATTATAGCTTTTAACTAAGAATATGAAATAATAGGCGAATACATTGCTAGAGTAAAGAATATGAACTAATAATCTAAGTCAGGCAGCATGCTTTCTTGGCGTGAGTTGTGCTATACCGGTGCCAAAAAGTCTGGGGTTGGGAATGAAATTAAAATGACACTCTTTGAAAAGTGTCATTTAATCAAGGGCAAACAGTGGGTAAAATAGTATGGTTGGCCTTGATTAAAAATAACATCAAAGGGTAAAACAGTCTTTTTAACTATCCAATTGTATTACTAATTTAGAGATAGAATCTAACAGTTAAACAGACTACGCAAGCTCCTTGAGTGAATTTTCCTGTTTGGTGGGGAAAACATTCCTTTCCATCAAGTAAAAAAAGTGTCTAGATACTAAGCTCGGACTTCATGCAAAAATGTTAGATGAAAGGAATCCCACCTTGGTTAAGTTTTATTTGCTGCTAAACTTCCCCCAGTCTCATGCTACCCTTTTTAAGTAACGCAATACCATGCTGTTCTATTGTTCCCAGTTTTTCTGCCACCACAATAACACATTTTAATCTGACTTTTATGCTGCAGCCATTCCTCTGAGACCAATAACTGACTTTGCATATTACACAGATGTTCAATTTGCCATCTCAGACACAATCACTGGTGTATGGAGTCTTGCATTCTGACCTCTGCACAAAGGCAGAAGCCACTCATGTATGCCTAGAACATTCCCCACTCGTATCTCCTCTTACGGAGTCTGAATTACAGCACCACAGAAAATCATGTGTTTACATAGTTATTTTTCTTGAATTGAACTTTACATAAATTTAGCATCCATGAAAGCAAGCTGGATTAATAAAGGTATTAAAACAACGAAACGCACCGAACGTGTACTGCACAAAGAGGACCTGTACAGATTTCTCTGTGCTACTTTAATATGAACCAAACAGATTATATATGAAGAATGAAGTTCACAGCATCAGGTTTAATGGCAGATTTTGCAAGCACACAGCCCTTCTGAACCAGGATGAGACACGTGCATTTTACGTTGTTCTGCTGATCAGGGTATATCCAGTAATTGGCAGTTACATTTTCAGTCAGCTACCAGTTCTCTAAAATCATCCAGTTCTCCACATCGTGACACTTACACTTTTATTTCAACTACCTTGAAGCATATATTTATTAAGAGAAGACTTTGCAAGGTTAAAATCTCTCATGTTTTGCATACACTCTCCATTCTCCCAGGTCTTAAACCATTTTCCACAGCAGGCAAATGCTACTGAAATTGTACGTTTAAATTGAACTCTGACAGTGACATCTTCAAGAAAGAGAAGTATGAAAAGATGGAATATAATTTAAAAAAAAAAAAAATTGCTGAACTAAATTGACTGCAGGTCTCCATTTAATAAACTGTTTAACTCTATTGAGGTTACCAGGGCATTGTTTTCCCAAACACGATTGTGTACTTTCTTGCAGGTATACTGAAAATCAAACTCAGAACAGGTTGTGCAGATTCACTTCAAGTATATAAAATGAAGTCATCAATAAACTGTTCCAATACTTACCTGTGCAAAATAACTGTAAAAGAAAACCTAAAAATGTAATAATAAAAAAAATGTTATGACCCTGTTCTTCTAACATACAATGATATTTTCCAGTGCTAGTACCTTTGCCAATATTCCTTGGAGGTAGAGGAGGTGCACTACTTGTAACAGGTACTGCAGGCTGAATGGGAGGTGGACTGCCACTGAGTATTGCTCCGTATGTTTCATTCTGTAATATACTCGGCATAAATCCCCTTTGCTTATCCTTAGCAATGTTTGCTGCATCTCTTGCCAAGGACGCTACATTAGGCTGAAGTTGGTTTGATCCAAGTTGATAGAAGCTGACAGGCCTGTCCTCTCTCCGATTGGGACTGGGTTGCTTAAACACAACAACAAAAGTACTCACTGATACCACATTAGTTGTACTCATTTTACTTATTAGTTGATAGAAAGTTATTAGTTTCTAGAAAGAAAAAATAGCTTCTAAAATGCATTTTTGTTGCTTTTAATACATAATCTAAAAACTACATTCTGCCCTCTTCAAGACAAAGTAACTGTGCACATTAACAAAAGAAAGATTAAATGTGAACTGCATTTCAAAACAATTATAATTTTCTCATTTTCTCCTGTAGTATACTCCTAGGGTATAATATGGTATCCTTATATACACAGGACTATACTCCTATAGATAGTCAATATAGATATTCAGACTGGATCAAGTAAAGTTTCCCTGCATGAAAATACCAGGCAATATTTTCAAAAGTAAACAAACAACTGAAGATCCTAAACCTCATCTGAAGTTCAGCAGCGTTAGATCCCAGATGATCATGGTCTCAAAAACCAGACACAATTGCATCTAAGTATTCACCTGTGGCTTAGCCTACAACAAATTACGAGCCAAAACTTATTCTGAACTCTTTTTAGCTCACTAATATCGCTGGACAAGTTCGGGAGATTACTTCAGTTGGCAGCTGGGATGGAACATTGCTCATCCCATGCACGTTATCAAATGAGATCTAATTAGTTGTCTTTGAGATTTACAGCAAGTCATCTGCTTGCTATGCACACTTAGCATTATTTTTCCTGTTTCAACAGCAAGCATAGTAATTATTGTTATCAAATGATAATTAAAATAGCTGGAGTTACAAATTCATGTGGCTAGTACAGGAATGGGTTGTAACAATCCACAGCTCAGAGAGCATAAATATGCCTTTAGAAATAGCGTTAGATAAACACGTTGCTGACGTACTGTCTGTATGAAATTAAAATAACCATTTATAGTAATAGCATTTAGGCAGAATAAAGATTTACACCAACAGTATCACAAATAAGCAATCGATTTTCCTCTAAATATATTCAATGCTTACTCTGGATTGATCATGTAGGGCCTTTAGACATGTTATAGCACAGCATTATAGTTCAAAGATTTATCAGAATGATGTACGTGACAGCCAGACGCATTAATCCCTACCTTTACTTTGGCTTAGCAGCCTCACTCCTCACTGACTGACACTCACCATTCCCTGACCTCTCCACTGTCCTCGTTTCAGTATTTGTTTCAGCCCACACTTGCTTCTGCTTTCTAAACCAGCAGAAAATTCTTTTGTTTTGTTGATATAGCTTTTCACTGGTTTACCAAACTGAAACCACTCAATACAGGGACAAATGTGTGCCAGAATGGAGGCAAAATATGAGGTAGGACCAGGCAGCCAGGGTGTGGAACAGCAGCAGAAACCAGTTTGATTGTCTTAGCCTTCTTTCAGGTTAGAGTCTCTTTTATATGAAAAATTCTGGACTAAAAGAACTTCCATTTCAGACATGACCTTTTCTGACAAAGATTACAAAATCTATTTAATTGCTTTACCAGAGAGAGACAAGCCCAATAGCTTTACATCTATAAACAGAACTCTGATGTGATCCTAAGCAACAGCAGTATTCACCAGTGCATTCAATGTAGTCACAGACACTAGTCTGTGATTAATAGTCCTTAGTCTCCTTTCAAAAGTCCCTGTAGTATAAGTCTATTAATAGTGGGCAGTGAAGTAGCAGTTTCATTACTTTAGCCTCATTGCTGAGTAGCGGGTAACTTCCTATATGAGGTGTTGCTCAGGGACTAGCCAAAAAGAGAACGCTCAACTGCAGAAGGCAACTGGCAACAATGAAGGAAGTGAGGGAAAAAACAGATCAAAAATACAAATTTAGAGTGTCCCTGAAGGGGATTTGATAGATATCTAGTTGTAAAGTATCCAAAAGGTTTTACAGCTGGAAAAAATGAAATCTCTAAGACATAACAGAAAATTTCAAACTGCTTTATCAAAAAGGTCATCATTACTGCTGTTACTATCTGGATAGTGATACAATACGTAGGAATACATAAATACCAGGATATAATATGAAAACTCACCCGGAAGAACTGGATTTAGCAGCTCAGATTCCAGATTCTTGCACAGATACCAAAATTCTCAAGAAAAATCTTAAGAAAATTCTAAGAAGGTAGCAATTGTGCTTTGAAAGGAATGGCTTGTGACACATTTTTTGCTCTTTGTTGCTAACTCTAGTTCAAGTCAAGCACCAGAGGTAATAGCTATCTTGGACTAAAGAGACAGGACACAGGGAGAAGAATCCTATGCAGACAAGGTCTTGCAAAAATGGTATTTTGCAACAGAGGAAACTTATTGGTGTCAAAATTAGTCTCCAAAACATTACGCCAATTCAATGGTCTGATGGCCTAGCATTTTTAAGACATTCTGTGAAGGCAAAGAAATGAACCTATGACTGTCAGGTTTTAATATTTCTGAAAACAAAGAAAAACCCAACATACAAGATTTGGTTTTATGTTATTAATTAAGTATTAGCAATTCATGCCCTAGCTGAGATGAGGGACTTTGCAGGAGAAGTATTAAAATGCTAAAACTTGTAGAAAGAAATAAGTCAAATTTCATTATCCAGAGGAGAAAGGGGTTTTTGTTAGCTACTTTCAAGAGAAAAAAAGGTTGTGCTAACATCTGAAGATTAACTAATATAAAGCCTATTGTGTATTCCTTGCACTTTATAAAGGAAGCAGAAAAGGCATAAGCAATTATAACACCGCACACACAAAAAGAACAAAAACATGTGCTCAATACTTATATGGAATATTTCAAATTATGAAAGTTTCAGAATGTCATTAGTATTTAGGAGCCTATACGTCATTTCAAATTACTTGGCCCCTAGAAATCCAAGCCATTTTTAAGTGTTGTTCAGGTATCAAAACATGGTGGTTTGTTCCCTGTCTGCATGCTCAGGTGCTTAAATACTTTTTGAAGTTGGTCCCCAAATTGGGAAATTAAGTTTTGAAAATGCAATGAATTTCCTATGCTACTGGAATACTTTGTAATACTTGTAATATGACCATCCTTGGAGATATTCAAAAGCCATCTGGACATGGTCCTGGACAACTGGCTCTAGGTGACCCTGCTTTTGCAGGGGGGTTGGACCAGATGACCCCAGAGGTCCCTTCCAATCCCAACTGTTCTGCGATTCTGGACCCAATAGCACCACAACACCACTAGAAATTTCAGGTATGAAAAGGGAGAAATACAAAAATATTTTTACATGAAAATTCAGAATTAAGACCCTACTCTGCTATTAATGGATATGGCTTATTTAATGTACAAGTTTAGTTCCACTGAAGACAAGCCAGTGCGTAAACTGTTCCAAAATTAAAGCCATCGACTGGAGCTGTTTCACAAACATGAGAAGATGATATAAGGTGCCTCTCTTTGTAAAGGCAATTTTCCTAGCTCATGTTAGTTCTGCTTCACGATCAGCAGATCTAAATATTCCTGATGTATTGAAACAAACTGTTGACTCCATTAAGAAAAAGATATCACATCTGGCTAATAGTAATTTCATCATCACCACACAGTCATATGTTTTATACCTTATATTAAAGAGGAAAAAGACAACAAACTATAATTTAAGGAACTAATATTTAAGCTACTACATTTTTCTACAGAACTTCATTTCACAGTGTCTTCACACCAATAGTAAAAAGCAGTGTTATTGAAATCATTATGAACATCATGCTCACACAGATATGTGTACAGAAAAATAATAACGTATTGATACAAACCTGCAGCTTTTCATCCACATCATCATCACTTTCGTCCAGATCTTCATGGAGTAACCGCCATTCATATTCTACATGAACATGAGAATTAAATCTTCCGGACAGTGCTTGAGTAAGCTAAGGAAAGAAGGATGACTGTTGACACCTATGTTATGTGCAGTACTTATTTTAAAACAACATATTTTAAAACAAACAAAAACCACATATAGAAGGAACCTTGGTTTCTAAGTACAAATATTACTTTTATTTTAAAAACAGATCTCAGTAATCTGGAAAGCTACTGCACTGGGGTAAGTTTAAAGAATTAAGCTCTGTGACCAAACACAACACAAATAAATCAAAAGCAACTAGGCTTTTCATTAGCCATTGTAGGTCCATTCTCCATTGCAGGTCTATTCTCCATTTTCTGACAAGAAGCACCACATCCTATTTGCTTTGATTTAGAAATTGCAAGTCAAAGAAATTAACTGCAATGACAGTTTTTTTTGACTCAGACTCACTTATCAAGAAGCCTTGACCCCACTAATCCATTTTTCTTGCTTACTGAAAGTAGTGATGGTAGCCAACTTCATAGAATCATAGAATCATTAAGGTTGGAAAAGACCTTTAAGATCATCGAGTCCAACCGTCAACCCCACACCACCATGCCCACTAAACCATGTCCCTAAGTGCCTCATCTACATGTCTTTTAAATACTTCCAGGGATGGGGACTCAACCACTTCCCTGGGCAGCCTGTTCCAATGTTTCACCACTCTTTCAGCA